AATTCCCGGCAGCTATCGAGGGCCTTTAGATAGACTCTCTGGGGAGTATCTCTGACTGATGATCACAACTATGACCCCTGTCAGCCAAAATGGTGATCCCTCCCTGTCCCCTCGTGGCGGTTAGGGGTACCTCTTCAGAGGGAGGAATATTATAGACAGCGAAATTAGGTAGAAATACAGGCAGTCAGACAGGGCCCCTCAAGAGAGACTCAGCCCAGAAGATGAGAACACAATACAGCTGTGGCTGGAGGCACATCTGCTGAAGGGCAGGCCTCAAGGTGAAGACGGAATGACCGGGCCTACATACCTTCCCAGGGGATAGCTGGTATCAACTGGTACCATAAGGTCTAGATAGACATCAGTCATCCTGGCGGGTGACCAGGACCGCCTGACCCATCCCTTCCTATAAGTCTTTGTTCTTTCCATGTACATTTGCTATGTGACCTGCTTCCCTATTAGATCATTATTACCTAAGTGGCTACACTTGTAATCTTTTTGGCTGATCACAGGATCCCCAGTTTTCACCACCTTGTGATATCGTTCGATAAAACTTTCTTTGGGAAGTAGGCTTGTCTTAACCCACTTTCGGGGGTCCCCTTCCATCTCTCAGAAGCGCTCTCTCCCCAATAGAGTTTTCTTACTCTTAACCTCCATTGTCTTTTTCTCTTTTTTTTTTTTTTTTTTTTTTTTGTTTTTCTCTGGTGCTGGGAACCGAACTCACGACCTCGCGCTTGCCAGGCAGGCGCTTTGCCGCTGAGCTAAATCCCCAGCCCCTCTTAACCTCCATTGTTTTTCAGAATTCCTTCTTTGATTTTGGCGAACATGATCTCAACATATCTGACACTTAGCAGGTTAGGAGTTATATTCTTTTCCATGTATCACTGGGTCTGCTCCCCAGCTAATCCCCTCCCATCCCCCAAAAGAATCGGCTGTCAAGAACATCCATAAAAATCTTAATCCCAAGAGGTTCCCACTGTCTCCACATCAACGTTCCTACACACACAGGGTTCTTTGCTGACGCTGCCTGAAGCTCCAGCCACCCTGCGCAACCATCTTTAACTACTACTTTCCCCAGCTCAACTTCCAATTCAAAACTTCTTGCCTAGAGCCTGAAGCAAATCCCGCAGCAATGCTTAGATCCTTCCACAAAGTAAAGAACCCAGAAACATTAGTGGGCAAGAAATATGCTTGTGGCTTGTTTTTCTTTTCAGCCCTTTCTTGGAAAGAAGGAGGTAGGAGGGCTAGACCTTCACCCCGCCTCCGATCCCACCCTTTGGCTCCCTGCCTCAAAGCCTTAAGAAGGACCTGGGCCTCCTCAAAAACGACAACCGCGGTAGCGGGCACACAGGAGCCGCTACACTGGGTGGGTCCCCCATCCCGGCATCAGCACGCGGCCCCTGTCCAGAGCGCGAGGCGGGGCAAGGGCAAGGTAGGGAGGAGGATGCCAAGCCCGGAGGGCGCGCGTTCCTCCCAAGGCGGGCGAGCCCTTCCCTGCAAGGCTGGCTCGGCTGCAAGCCCTCGCCCGTTCTGCCTAGCCTCGCCCAGCCAGGGTCGGGGATTCGCGGGAAGGGGTGACGAGCCCTGGGCCCTTCCAGTCCTACCTTCCCCGACTCCCTGCGCTCCATGGCCCCGCTTCCTCGGCCTGTGCTGCCCCCTCCCCCCGCGGCCTGGCCTGAGGATGCTGCCGCGGCGACCCAAGGGAGACCTGGGCTCCCTGAGGGGAAGGTACCCTGGCGGGGAGGGAGCGCGGCCGAGAAGTTCGCTCTCGCACGTCTGGGTGCAGTAGCGCTCTCCCAGCGCGCAGAGGCGCTGAGCTGGAACTACAGTCGTGAGAGCGAGCAGCTTTACGGCAGCCACCTCCCTGCTGCCGCAGGGCATCACGGGGAGTGTAGTCCAACCTCTCGAAACTGCTCTCGAAGCTGCTATTGGCTCCCAGAATGTGGGGCTTGAGTGGACCCCGAGACGCTCGCTCTCTGTCCTTCCCGCCTCCATTCCCGGATGGTTACTAGGCAACGTCTCCGCAGGCCTCCTCCTAACTCAGCAGTACCAGCAGAGGACCTTGATGGATTTGTACCAACGTCAGCCTTGAAGGTTCTAGGTTTTATTTAATCAAGGAGGACTATACTTTTTCTTACATTTGTTTTAAAAAGCGTCATCATTGCATCAGTTACTGTGCTAGGTTCGGGGAGTACGAAGTTTAATGAGACAGTCCTTACCTTAGAGGAACTCAGTTTATTGGGGGAAAGAAGCAAAAAACAGAACATTACTAAACAGAAACAAGTGCAATGAAAGAGGTAAGTGCAAGACTCTAGTGAAACACCTTCTGTCATCTTAGAATGAGGTGGTGAGTCAAGGATTTCCTGAGGAAATGGTGCCGAACTGATTTGAGAGGTGGGAATTTGCCAGGTGAAGGAGGTGCTATGGTCTGAATTGTGTCCTCCCACCAGATTCTTACGTTGATTTTTCAACATGATGGCATTTGGAAGTGGAGTGTTTGGGTTTAGATGAAATCATGAAGGGAGGTCCGTAGGATAGGATCAGTGCCTTTAAGAGACATGGGAGAGCTTTCTCCTTCTCCACCAGGTGAGGACACAGTGAGAAGGTGGCCTCAGGAAGGCGAGAAGAGCTGCCAGATTATAATCTGGTAATAATAGGAGAGATAAGATGAGGTATTAGTATTGTCTGGGACTTGGATTTTGTAGGTATTGAGAGAAGGATTTAAGGTTATAAGAAATCAGAGACGTTCTTCCATGCTAGTCAAGAAAGAGCTAAGTATGGGTGATGGATTTAGAAAATGGAAGGGCTCACGTGCTAGAGGACCATGACAAACACCCAGGAGGGATATAGGTAACCAGGGGGGAGCCAGAAGGCTAGGAAAATTAAATCAGAGAAGGAAGAAGAGTTTGCAGGAAAGAATGGTTTGCAACTGAATATGTTTAGTGGTAGCCCCTTTCCGGAGTCTCACTGATTTGGGATGACAGGACCCCCACTTAGGGCCTTACAACAATTCAAGTCCCAGTACTCACTTAAGAGTTCCTGTACATGTCCAATTCGTACTAACCAGTCTCTCCTCTCTTTCTCCCTTTGATTTTATCCCTTTGTCAATACCTCTAGCTGGATGAGGCTGTCAGTGTAGGGGTGTCTAAGGCATATGAGGGAGCAGGGGCTAATACATAGCATCACTGAGCAGCAGAGCGGGAGTGTCTTCCCTGGCTGCAACCCTCCCAATCCAGGAAGCACAGACTGAGACAAGGACGTGGTCCTGGAAGGGGATCCCATAGGGCCGTGTGGTCAGACTCAAGAAGAGAAGCAGAGAAGAAAAGCTAATTTAAGAGCACGTTTCAGAGATCTTTGCTGTGAGCCCTGGGGGCCTGCATGCCCTTCTGGGAATTGTATAAAATGTTGCCCAGGACCATCTGTCTAAGGAATGGGAGGCTGGTGCATTTATCTGCACACCTCATCTCCAGTGAGTGAGGGTGTCCCCAGATGAGTTATTTATATCCCATCCTTGCATTTGTACCTCCAGTCATGCTTGTGCGCAGACCAAGTTGACTCTGTGTCAGAAAAACCCTTGACGGAAAGCAAAAGAAACTTGAAAAGAGGGTATACAAAGGAAAATAAAAAGGAAAAAAAAAGCTCAACATCATTAGTCATTGATATTGAAGAAATACAGATCAAAATGAAATAAATCTGATGCAGAAGTATATAGTTTCTCATGTATGAGAAACACAATATAAATAAAGAGCAAAATAAAAGAAAGAGGAAACAGGGAGATAAACCTTTTGCAAATTGGAGGGTGATCTAGAGATGAAAGTAGGAGGGGAGAGGGAAAGGGAAGTAAAAATGTTTAAGATGTGATATGTACATGTACCAACTCCCCATGATGCATGTATTCATTTATGTATCACAAACATAGTAATAAGAAGGAAATATAAATCAAAATCTCAGTGAGTGCTATACCCACTGCATGGTTATTTTTATTTTTGGAGACAAAAACAACTGTTGGAGAGGATGTAGAGAAACTGAAACCCTTGTACACTATTTGTGAGAATGCAAAATAGTACAACTGCTTTGGCAGTATCTTAAAAATGGAGGACCCAGCAATTCTGTACCTAGGTATAACATACCCCAAAGAAATGAAAATATATGTCCAGAGAAAGACTTGTACAAAAATGTTTATAATAGCTTTATTAATAATAGACAAAAAAAAAAAGAAAGAGAGAAAGAAAGAAAGACAGGCAGACTGATACAACCTGAACTATTGTCATCCAGGGTATGGGTAGACAAAGTGTGGTATATCTATACAACGATTAGTATTTAGCAACGAGCTGACATATGCTATAATATGTATAATATGTTTCTATATTGGAATGAGCTACCATATGCTATAATATGAATGAACCTCAAAATCTTCAGCGTAACGACATGAAATGTCCAAAAAAGGCAAATGTGTTGACATGGAAAGCTACTTACTCGTTCCTGGGATGGGAGATGGGAAAGGTTGACTACAAATGGGTGTGAAATGAGGGAAATGTCCTAAAACTGAATTGTGGTGATGTTTGTGCAATTTTATTTACTTTCTGTAAAAGTCAGTGAAGTGAAAACTAAAAATGAGTACATTTCTTACTATGAGAATTACACTTCAGTAAGACTCTTGTACAAAGGAGAAGTAGGCCTCAGCCTGAGCTTCTACGAATGTCTCCCCCACACTGCAGCCAAAGTCTCTGTGGGTGAGGATCTGCCCAGGACACTAGAGATGTCCAGCCCAAGGGATCTCTAGACTTTACACTCAACCCTGTCTGTATCCAGAGGAGGAAACCGAGGTCCAGTTATGGGAAGTGAGTTGCCCAGGCCCTCCAGCCATGAATGCCGTGGTGAATCCATGGCAGATTCCCAGGGTTCCCAGGGGATGAAATTCTTGCAGTCCAGATAGGGCCCGGGCCCAGACCCACCCTTTCTCCCTTTTTCTGCTGAGCTGCAGGACAAAGACTACACCTGGAGTGGCTCAGTCACTTTATTTGGGACATCTAATGCCAGGCATGGGTCTCGGGTCGGGTACTGAAGGAGCCGATTAGTGCGAAGAACCTTATGATCACAGAAGGACAGCAATGGACACATCCAGCGGAGCCTGTCAGTGCTTTGAGAAATCACCTCCTGGGGGACAAGTGAGGGGGAGATGAGCTAGCAAGACAGGCAGAGTGGTCAAGCCTAGCGGGGTCAGAGGGGCTGCAGTCTGGGCAGCAGAGGAGGTGAGGCGGAGCTGCCGGAGGCGCCCAGAGCCAGTGCAGGCTCTCCTGCCTTGCCCCACCTACGGCATCCGCACCTTCCATGGGTTTCTCCCTCACTGCCACCCGGGGTGACCGCATCGATTCTATGCCAGGTACTTCCACGCGTGCTCTCCCCACGTCCTCGCCCCAAACTTGAGCAGAGATGCCAGCCCCATTTAAAAGATGAGTTCCCGGGGAAGAGGGAGCGGCGTGGGGGTGCTCAGCGAGGAAGCAGGTGAGTTGGCATTTGAACCAGATATATTCCAAACACCCAAGCTTATGTATGATTGGGGAAGAAATAAACAATGTTGAGAAGGAGAAAAGATCGGATTGGAAGGACTCAAGGAAGAGCAGGGGCAGGGAGCTTTGTGTGTTTCTGACGCCCCCACCAGACCCTATGCTTGCCCTGTGTTCTGCCAGGCTGGGGCAGCCTTGTCCCCGCGCAGGGCTCCGCCCCCGCCCAGGCCCGGCCCACCCCCACCCAGGCCCCGCCCCATCCAGGTTCCGCCTTCCATAAGGCCCCGCCCACGTTCACTTAGCCCTGCCCCCCGGAGCGCCTGGCCCATCCGAGAACCCCCGCCCCGGCTCCCGTCCAGACCCACCCTGGCAAGGGCTGCACTGGCAGCTGTGGATCACAGGCAGCACCGCGGGCTCCGTGCTGCCGTCGGTACAGCGCAGGTGCAGGATCCTTACGGGGCTGTCCGGGTCCAGGCGGTAGCTGCAGCAGTCACACTGGCTCTGGAGGTACGGCTCCTGGGCGAGCGGGAGGGGGGTGTGTGTGTGAACCGGGGAGGGGCCACGCAGAATTTCCCCGCTTCCTTTGAGCCCGTAGGACTAGATCCCAATGCTCCTGGCCAAGCAGCCTAGCGGGGCCGGGAAGGAAGGTGTCACCACTCAGTCCCCTTCCCGGAAGCCCGCCTTCTTCACTCCAGCCCCACCCATGTACCATCTGAATGTCCAGCACCCTGCAGGTTAGATGAAATGCAGGAGTGGGGACACTGCTTCCTCCCCGGGGTCTTACCACTAAAGAGATATTCCTAATACATGAAGCTGCAAATAATTAAACCCAACTGCATGGTTCTGGTCCCAAGTGCAGTGCGCTCTCCTTCCGGGCAAGCCCCTCGGGCCCTGTGATTGTTGAGTTCCTCTTACAACTATTTAAGATTATTTCATCCATAATCATATTTCTTATTCTCTCTTGAAATGGGTAATACACTCACACAACGCCAAGTTTAAAATCTACGTGCAAAAGTTATTTGCTTAGATCTCTGAACTGCTTTCCGTTCTCCCCGTTTTAAACATTGCCAAGGTGATTTGGGAAGGCATCCACAGGGGAGGGGCAGTGTGTCCAAGGTTGGGGGCAGCATCTCTGAACCCCACGTAGAAAGCACCTTTGTCTTGCAGGCTTGGAAAAGCCAGGTGGGCAGAGGCGGAAGGGAAATGGCTACAGAGTAATGGTGCTCTGAGAGAAGGGCTCTGGGGCTGGGGCTGGAGCTCTGTTCCAGGAAGGTGCCAGGAACAGGGGCTAAGAGATTCCGGGGGCCACTGGGGCCCTAAGAAGATCCTAAGAGGAGCAGGGCTCAGCATCTGGGAGAGGAAGCGTGGAGACTCGGTCTGTGGAGCGTCTTGCTAGGAGCCATCCCGGCACCCTGTTGCCCTCGGTGTGGAGGCTGTGACTTCACAGTCAGCCTGTCTCCTCTGCGCCCTTTTCTGTGAGGTGCACAGTGGCCCAGAGGCACGCCCTGGGAACGGTCAAGGCCACCGTGGGCGTAGACCACCGCCCTGGTGCAAGGCTCTGACTATCCATAGCCCAGGCCCAAATGCAAGCCCTGTGCGAGTGGAACATGCCCCTCCTGTCCTCTGGACTCTGCCCAGGCCCCAGGCTGGCCCCCGTGGGACTGCCTCACCTCAGCCATGACATTGGTGCTGGACAGGCAGTGCCCACTGCAGTAGCTCACTTCTACCTGGTCCAGGTGGCAGGGCCCCTTGGTAAGGTTGCGAAGCTCAGTGAGGTGCTGGCAGGAGGCCGGCTTCTCCTCTGTGGGGGGAGAGGCAGGTTCTGGGGCAGGAGCTGGGGCAGGGAAAGGGGAGGCTGCGACTGAGCACACCCCAGGGATGGGGGGACATATAGGGGACAGAGCCTGGGATGCCGGAGCATGTGGGGTGCTGGTGCCAGCCGGTATGATTCAGTCCTCGGGTCTCCACTGTCATCCCTGGGGGGGCGGGTAGACTTGGGGAGGGCGGGCACATGCCAGGCTGAAAAGGCAGCTGGGGAGAAGGGTTCAGACCAAGGCACTCAGGTGGTCTCCATACCGAGAGTCTCCTGCCTGCAAATGGGACAACAGCTCCCTGGCTCCTGCACCAGCGTCTCACCCTGCGGAGGGAGTCGTCCCAGGTCCAGTGAGGATGGCCCTGTCCCCTCCAACCTCACACTGCCTCCCGAGACCCTAAGACTAGCCTCAGAGGAGGACCCCAAGGAGGAGGAAACACTCAAGCAGGCCACAGGGGTTACCTGAGCACAGGTGAGGCGAGGGCAGAGCTGGGCACAGACACTTGTCCCTCTCAGACAGCGACAGCTGTCACAGCCCTCCTGCCACTCGGACCCGGGCTGGGGGTGGGACAGGAGAGGCTCTTCTTGGTTTCTTGCCATATTCCATGATAACATCCCCAGCCCCAGCCCAGGAGCACCCAGCAGGAGCCATGCACTAGGACTGGCATAGGCAACAGGAGTCTCAGGCGGGCCAAGGAGGGTTTAGGTGGGAGCAGGGGCTCCAGCCCAAGGCCGGACACTGTCCCTGGGGCGGCCCACTCCCACCCACCGCAGCAGAGCAGGAGTGTGTTGGGAGGGAAGGGTGTCACAGAATGCTTCAGTAGGTGAGGAGGCCTGGGATCACAAAGGAGTGGGCGGCAGCAGAGGGGACACGATGTCTCACCAAGTGGGGACGCCCGAGATGCCAGCACTCGCAGAGCTCTGCAGGGACGCAGGAGCCTGCCTGGCTCCGGAAGTGTCCTTGCTGGCACACGCAGCCCGGAGCCTGTGGCACACTGCAGTTGCTCTGAGCCTCTGTGGCATTTGTCTCCTGGCATGTCCGCTCGCAGCGCCCCTGCTCCCCCGGGGATACCTGCTGCCACTTTTCCCCAGGGGGACACTCTGCAGGGAAGATGGTCTACTCCACTCTTGGCCAGCCCTGGACCCTGCCTCTATCCCTCACCCCACTAGACACCCCAGGGTCCCTCTTCCCCTTCCCATGCCCTGCACGCCTATCCTCTACCTTCTCCAATAGCTGTGCCCGGGCTAGGTCTCACCCCTGACCAATGCTGTCCTCCCGACCCCTGCCTTCTCAGGACCAGTGCCACATCCCATGGGGGCTGTCTGCTTGCCAGAGACCCAGAGGTGATCTCTGGTCTCCACCCTCCCCCGCCAGGGTGGAAGCGCTGAGGGGCTGGCCATGAATCTACAGAGCCAGCACGCAGAGCTGGGCTACCCCAGGCCAGGCTCCTCATTCCTGCTAATGCCTCTGGACCTGTTTCCTTCTCAGCAGGAAGGAGCCTTCCACTTTCTTGCATTCCTTGTTCAGTGCATGGACCAAGAGCCCAGGGAGTACTGGACAGGGAGTGCTGGGCCTCCAGGCAGTGAGAGGCCCAAGCAGGCAGAGAGGGGGGCTTCCTGAAAGAGGCAGCTTGCCCTTGGGGGTGGGCAGAACCTGCCTCCCCCACTGAGGCCAGCCTGGCCTTAGCTTTGCAGGGCCAGACAGTCACATCTCACCCGGGCAGTCAGCGAGGGAGCAGTTGAAGGTACCATGTTGGCAGACACTGGGGAGACAGAAGAGCCACTCAGAGGCCTCCCGGACCCCCTTCTTTCTCAGCAGCCCTCCCCACTGCCTGGGCACTGACCAGTGGGTGCAGTTCTGGGTGAGCACAGTCCCTGGGGGCAGCTCCTGAGCCAGCTCTTCAGGGGTCAGGCTGAGGCCCCAGGGCAGGGAGCGCTGGGTGCAGGGGCAGGTGGCAGGGGGCACGCATGTGCCATTGTGCAGCAGCTGAGGCAGGCAGACTCAGTTATACTCGGACCCCCACCTCCTCCCGCCTCCCCCACCCGCCTGCTTCCCCCAGGCAGGAGTCAGGACCCAACAGCGGTACCCACCTGCCCTTCAGGGCAGCCACATCCAGGCTGGCAGGGTTCCTCCACACAGACGGTGCCCGGCTGCAGGTGCAAGCAGAGCCTTGGGCAGGAGGTAGCACAGGTGCTGAGCACCTGCCCGGGGGGGCACTCTGGGAAGCACAGAGATGGTGAGGTGGGAGCTGCTAGGGAAGAGGCTGCCTCTGACTGCCCTCTCTCCCCGAGCCCCGTGCCGGCAGCTGGGGCAGGACCTGGGTCCAGCGGCAATAGAGAGACAGGCAGAAACATCCCTCTCCCGGGGGCGGGGGCTCTGGGCACACACCAGGGCAGCGCTGCAGGTTACACTCTTGCTGTTGCTCTGTGTCCTGGGCGTGGCATGGTGCTGCCCCAGGATGCCCCATGCAGCTCCGACGGCGTTCCTTGATGCCCCCACCACAGACAGCTGAGCACCTGCTCCAGGCTGACCACGGCCCCAAGAGTGGGCACGCAAGGTCTGGGCATGCCAGGGACCCGTTGACGCAGGTGCTGTGGACAAGGGTGTGCAGCAAGCCTCAGGCACTGATCCAGGCACCTAGAGCCACGGTGCCCAGGAGGCCCGTCACCCTGGCCCACCGTAGCCCTGGCCCAGGTCACCACCACGGCAGCATACCAGTTGTGGCAGTCCAGCTGCACTGCCTGAGCCGGGGCCAACTCCCATGAGGCATTGGCACTAGGGAGGCCACAGCGGCAGGAGGAGATGGGCACACAGCGCCCATCCTGTATCAGCTGGCCCGGGGGGCAGCGGCAGCCTAGAGACGGGGGGAGAAGGACAGTAGGATTTGGCACTCAGGCAAGGCGTACGGGATAGTTTCCTCTGGCAGCCAGAGCAGGTCCAAAGCCTGGTCACAGTCTCTCCCCTGCCTGTGCATGGGGAGCCACTCGGATGAGCATCACCCCATCGTCCTTATGGCACCTGGAGCGTCCTCCCTGACACAGCAGGTCCTCACACTGCCTCCCAGGAGGGGGCGGGGCCCGAGCGTCCCCAGAATCCCCAGGCCAGGCTGCCATGTGACAAGTTACCTGGGTGGCAGGGTCCCTGCAGACACTGCACGTGGTCCCAGAGGTCGGTACAGCTACGAGGGCACTGGTTGGCACAGTCAAGGGTGAGCACGGTGCCCCGGGTCTCACAGCTCTCTCCTGCAATCCAGAAGATAGGAGTCTATGTTGGGGACACTGTGGGTCCCAGGTGCCAGGGTCCTCCCTGCCACTGCAACCCCCTTCAGGTGCCATTTGCAGTATTCCAGTTCCAGACCTCCCGTGGATGCTGGGATGTGGTTACCTGGGCAGGACCCCATATTGCAGCTCTTGGTCTGAGCCCAAGGCCCCTGGCAGGCTCTTAAAGGAGGGCCTCCTGACTTTCTCCAGCGCAGCTGGAATCCCCCACTGCAGGGCACCGGGCAGGGGCTCCAGGGCCCCCAGGGAGTCCACTGACATGGGTCTGGGGAAGATAAACCGGAAGTCAGTGCAAGACCCCACCTGGTCGGACCCCGCCCCCTGCATCCCAGAGGTCCTGCTGTCTGTCAGCCTGTGCCCTTCCTTATTACCAAGGCAGGCTTCAGGGTCAGGGCAGAGGCGCTGCTGGCTCAGGGGTGCAGTGCACAGACGAGGGTCTCCAGCCCAGGGCCATCCTGTCTCAGGGTCCAGACAGAGGCGGTGGCGATACTGCTCTGAGGCCAGCAGGGGAGCCGAGGTTGGAAAGAAGCCTGCTGTGTCCAGAGGCCAGCGCTCCTCCAGAGTGGCCCTGGAGGCAGCGGCCAGGGTGCTTCGGGGCAGGCAGGGCCCACAGGGCGACCACTCAGACCAGTCACTCAGAGGCAGAAGACCTAGGAAGGTAGGGTGTTGGTGCCCTTCCCGGGGTTCCCAAGACCCCAGGGGGCAGGCAGGAGGGACTGGGGGTTGTGCCCAGGAAGGGCAGGAAGTAGGAAACGCTGAGGGAGGTATGGGGGCAGCATAGGGTCTGTTTGTCTGGGGTTGTCCTGGTTTTATCACTGAAAGTCACTTGACCTGGAAACCCACAGCCCTGAGTGGTGGGGACAGATGTCTCCCTAAGCCACGGTTACCTTCGCAGCCCCGGCTCGTGCATCGCAGCTCTCCGTGTTGGCACTCACTGTGGGGGACATCAAGGTGGGCTCTGGGAGAGGCAAGACCCAGCCCAGAGCCAGCGAGGGGGCTCGTATAGCATAGCCTGAGCTCTCGGTGTACTGGGGAAGGTGAGGGAGCTGCAGGGTCTGGCACGTGGGGTCATTGCTACTCATGGGGCTGGGCCCCAGGGGCTTAGTTTGGCCTTCTCTGCCTGGGTCAGGCTGCCCCCACCCCGGAAGGCTGACCTGCTCCCTGGCCGCCACCTCCCTCGCTTTGCCCACCACTCACCATTCCTTACAGCCCAGCTGCAGATGTTCCCCGGGAGCCAGGGTCACCTCGCCTCCCTCTCCCGAGGTGTGCCAGCAGTTACACTGCTCTGGGGGGACGCAGCCCCCTGCCTGCTCCAGCAGCCCCTGGGCGGAAGGAGGGAGGGGTCAGGATTGTGTGGAGGTCAGTGCCCCCCAACGCCTTGCACCGTGCCGACCTGCAGCAGTGCACATGTGTGCTACTGAGCAGGTGGCCAGGCAAGCACAATCTGGGAAGTACCCCCTTTTCTTTGAGAGCCCCCCCCCCGCTGCAGCCCTCACCCTGGGGCAGTAGCAGCCAGGCTGGCAGGGTGGCAGGTCCTGGCAGAGATGAAGGCTCTGGTGTGTGGCACAGAGTCCAGCACAGGCAGAGCCACAGGCCTGGAACTCAAAGGGCGGCGTGCAGCTGTCCTCTGTGGGAGGGGAGACCGGAAGCTGGGGGACGGCCCGACACCCCTGACCAGAGCACATACTGCACTGGCGGTCCCTTGGAGTCACCTGCTGAGAGCACAAGTCTGCCCCCAGGGAGTGTCCCCCACATGGCACCGCTAAGCCCCTGTGTGCCCCCAGGAAGGATCAGGACAGTTTGAGCCTCGGAGCCTGGAAACTGTGTAGACAAGGGGGCTTTGGGAGTCAGGGTCCTGGCGGGTACTCCAGGGATTGGCAGATGGGTGATACCAGAGCGAAGTGGGAGCAGCTTCCACAGAAGCTGGGCCAGACATCTGTTCCAGGGCGGGTGATGAGGTGTGACCAAAACATACAATGGATGCTTAGACTCAAATGCATTACAATAAAAGATACATTGCCATTAGTCCCTCGCAATATCCTCCTGCCCTCGATTTGAACACACTTAGCCCATCGTCCTTGCCACTTTCTGTAGCACTTCTGCAAGTCCTCTTTTGTGAATGTCTTTAGTTGCACCTGTGATGTCCTGAGCTGATTCAAAACATTTCCCTTTTGTGGTCACTTTGACTCTGGAGGAGAACGAGGGGCACACATGCCAGATCTGGTGGATGAGGTGGATGAGGACACAGCGTCGTGTTTTTGTGAGCCTGCCTTTCTGTTGGATGGCGCTCACCAGCGGTATTCACTGCATTTGCGTTCACACCTCCTGCAGACACTCAGGAAAGAGCACCTCCAGAGCTGCTTCAGAAATGGCAGGAAGGATGGGATAAGTATGTTTGAAGCGAGGAGGATTTTAAGGGGAATTGATGGCAATGTGTCTTTTACTGTAACACATTTTTAAATTTAAATATACCCTGTATGTTTTGATCAGCCCTCATCCAAGGGACAAAGCCACTGTGCTTTGTCTGGTGGTCGGCTGCTGCCATGGGCAAGTCGTGGTGAGCAACTGTGAGCAAAGGTATGGGGAGGCTGCAGTAACTGGGTGCAGAGGCAGGGACCAGGGCAGGCGCAGGCCACCCCCGTGAGGTCCTGGGGCTTGGGTCTGCATGAAGGCGCTGCTGCTGCCCTGCTCAGCCGCCTGGCTCCTGGGCCTCACCCGAGCAGTTGCCGATGGGGCACGGTCGGAAGTGGCCGTCCAGCCGTGTGCAGGGGGGTCCCTCAGCCGCCCGGCCGGGTGCTGGTCCCTGATGGCGGTAGCGCTGCTGCACAGGTACCTGGCAGGAGCAGCGTGTCCAGCTGCTCCAGCCACTCCACACGCACTCCTCTGGGGACAGGGTGGGGACATCAGTGGGGCCCCTTTGGACACCCCAGCCTCTGCCCCACACCCTCTCCTCTCACCCCTGCTCCAGCTAGGACCCTGCACAGGAGAAAGGGGAAAGGAAACCTAGGACTCGGAAAGGCTCTGCTAGGTAGGCTCCCCAACTCAACAAGAAGGTCACACTGTGGAGGCCTCCAAAAGAAAGAGGTGCCAGGAGGAGGAGGACAAAGCAGAGTGTCAGGGGACAGAATAACACTGGGGCAAACATTACTTATGGCCCAATACAGGGAAGTAGAGGAGGGGGCTCTGCCTCCCAGGCACGCTTACCCGAGCAGGGCCCTGGGTAGCAGGCCTGGGTATCCAGGCGTACGACAGTGCCATTGCACGTGGGGTCAGCCTCGGCTAGTGGGCAAGGGCAGGAGCCAGAACGAGAGGTCAGGCCGGGGCCGCAGGTATGAGAACAGGGCCCCCATGGGCCCCAGGAACAGGTGTCCCCCAGCCGCAGACATGGCTGCTGCCCACAGGGCTGGGTTTGGGTGTCAGAGCCCGGGCAGGGTGGCTCCTTGCGCTGAGCGCCCAACACCGTGCAGGTCCGGGTGCGGACCCGGCGCCCACCTCCACAGGAGACAGGGCAGTCGGACCAAGGAGACCACAGCGTCCAGCCGCTGGGCACTGCAGAAGGACACAGGTGGAGTTGGAGGAGTGCGGTGGGTGGGGAGGAGGAAGACTCAGAGGGTTGGGTCGGGACCTTCAAGCACAAGGGTAGCAGTGGGGTGGGGGGCAATGCAGGACATGGGCAGATGGCCTGTAACACAGGGCCAGTAGGGTGGACAGAGGCGGGGGTCAGGATGAAACCCAGACCTGCACACTTGGTGTTGTCACAGATCACGCCTTCTGGGGTACAGGAGCTGGGGAGGGAGCCCAGACTCAGGGACCTGCTCTCCAGCAGAACAGTCCAGTCATCCCTCCTGGCCCCGCGCTTACCACAGCTGACACTCTCCCTGAAGCCAGCTGTCCCCCAGGCTTCGGGGGCGGGCGCCCTGCAGGCACAGAGGTGGGCACGGGGGTTGTGGGCATGGCTGGCTCTGGGACTGCTCCTCTCTGCATTCTGGGGCCCACGAGCCCGATGTGGAGGACCTGGTAACGGGGCCGGGGAGGTGAGGAGCAACCCAAGCCTTTATCAGCCCTTATACCCCAGGGGGAAACTCAGGGTGGGCCTGGGCATGGCTAAGGCAAGGCCTGGATGACCTGTGACAAAGCTGGGCCAGATCACTGGGAGAGCAAAGTCGCGGGTAGAGCAGGACCAGGACTGCTGTACCGGAGAGGGAGACATACCAGGCAGAGGGGCCCTGAGTGGAGAGGGGACATCGCGCCTCCCCCAGCCTCATACCGGAAGCGGCTCTGCTGTCCTCCAGGCCCGCACGAGTGGCTGCAGGAACTCCAGGCTGACCAGTGGCTCCAGGCACAGTGGGCGGGTGGTGGGCAGGACAGGGCCGTGCAGGAGAGGCGCCCAGCCTGGCAGGAGCAGTTGTTGCAGGCATCTTGGTGCCGGCTCCCTGGGGCCCAGCTATGGCCCTGGGCATCTGTGCACTCGCAGTATCGGAGTGGCACACAGCTGCCATCCTGCTCCAGGGACCCTGCAAGGAGTTGGTCCGTGAAGGCTGGTGCTGGTGCTACTAGGCCCACCGGCCCCGCTCAGCCCCCCATGAGCTGGAAGGGCCTATGGTACGCACCCTCGGGGCACCGGCAGCCTTGCTGGCAGACTTGGTGGTCCTCACACACCGCTCCATCCTGCAAGTCTGAGCAGCGGCGGGGGCAGCGGTTGGCACAGGTGACCAGCTCCATGCCTGCTGGGCAGCCCTCCTCTAAGTGGAGGAGGAGGAGGCCTGGCGTCAGGCATCCGGCTCGGACGCTCACATCTGAGGGTCTCAGTATTCTCAACCGGCCAGTGAAGTAACAGCCCATCTCCCTCTACGCCCCAGATGAGAGGTGGGGGTGGCTCTCGCCACTGTCATACCACAGGGCATGGGATTGCAGACCCGGCTGTGATGCCTCTCGCCGACACAGGAGACACCCCCATTCTTGGGTGGGGGGCTTGAACAGCTCCGGCTCCTCACAGACCGTCCCCCTCCACAACTCCGGTCACACCAGGACCAGGGGCTCCAGCGTGACCAGCCCCCTGGCACTGTGTTGGAAAGAGAACAGCTCCATCGGGGTCAGCTCAGGGAGAGGGTCCCATGAGCCCCATAAGGCTCAGCCCGGGTCTGGTGGAGAGATGGAAGTGGCACCCCTGGGCAGGCAAGTAGTCAAGAAGGAAGGAGGTGCTGCGGCCTCCCAGGGCCAGGCCAGAGGAAGGGCTGGATTGCAGCCCGGTCCTCTTCCCCACCTCACCTGGGCAAGCACGCAGGTTGCAAAAGCGGTGCTCCTGGTAGGCAGTAAGGATGTCCGGGCACCAGTGTCCACCGGGCCCAGGGGGACGGTACGCTCTCAGGCGACGCTGTTGGCCCACCCCACAGCTGCGGGAGCACGGCTCCCACGGGGCCCAGGGAGTCCAGGAACAGTTCTCTGGCCCACAGCCAGGGCCAGGGCACAGGGGCAGCTCTGCAGGACAAAGTGGAGCTGGAGCTGGCACAACTGCCCGTCCTCTCTCCTCCCCGACCCTGCCTGCCTGCCCCAGCGGGGCACCGCATCCAGATCCTGGCTCCTGGTCCAGATCTGATACTGACTTTGGCATCTGGCCTCAGCATCCCTTTTCCTCACAGCAGATAGCAATCTCTGACTCACAGGGTTGTTAGGGGAATGCAAGGCACATATGCAGTACGATCCAAAAATTCAATGAATATTTCATTTTTAGAAAAATTACAGTAAAAGACACATTGCCACTAATCCCCCTCAAAATATCCCCTCTTGCTTTAAACACATTTATCCAGTTACTCTGGCCACTTTCTGGAGCAGTTCTGGAGGTCCTCTTCCGTGGGTGTCTTTAGTTGCGTTGTTGTGGCCTCCTCCGTGTCCTGAATCAATTCAAAATGTTTACCTTTCATGGTCATTTTGACTTTGAGGAAGAGCCACAAGCCGCGCAGTGCCAGGTCTGTTGAGTAAGGTGGTGAAGACACCCTATAATGTCGTTACGAGCCTGCCTTTCCATTGGACGGCGTTCCGTAGCAACTTTCACTGTATTGTTGATCACACCTCATAAAGACACTCATGAAAGAACTTCCAGAACTGCTTCAGAAAGTGGCAAGAAGGATGGGATAAGTGTGCTCAAAGCAAGGGGGAGGGTTTTGAGGGGCAGGAATGGCAATGTGTCTTTTACTGTAATTTTTTTTTTAATAGAACCTTCTCTGTATATTATGATTGCACCTCATGTGTGCATGAGGACCAAGTGGTCTGCTGGAACTTGGCAGAGCTCCCCATGGCCTGGAATCAGACACTGATTTGAGATTAGAAGTCAGCTTTAGAAATCCACAGTTGCTCGAGGGTATAGGCTGTTGGGGCTTGGGGCTTGGCCACTGGGTTGGGATGGGAAGGTACCTGTGCAGGAGGGCAGGTTGCAGGGACGCTCCTGTGTGGGCTCCCCCACAGTGCAGTTAGCCAGGCAGGGGCGCAGGCGGCTGCGCCACGCAGGGCGGGCGGGGTCTGTGCAGCTGCGGGAGCAGGGGGACCACGGCGACCATAGGCCCCAGCCAGCTGGAGAGGAAGGGAGGAGGGACAGAGGGGAAGCTGGGCTGGGGCTGGAGGCTTGCCCTTCCCAAAGGGGGGCCATGTGGCAGAGGTATGGGGCCTGGGGCTACCTGGAAGGGCTGTCACTGGCTCCACCGTGGACCCTGCAGCCCCTGTGCCAAAAGAGACCCTGCTCGGAAATGCTTCCCGGCCGGCGGTGCAACTAGACAACGCCGAAGGCTGGCAGCCCAAGCCCGGGCCCGCTGCTGCTCTCCAGCCCAGCCTTCTCCAGCTCCATGATCTCCTGTGGAGACTCCAGGACCAGCTCGGCACTTTCCAGTTGGGTCAAGGTCTCTGCTCAAGCCTTTGCTGCTCCCTGGCCTTCCTTCCTTCCAATGCTCCTCCATCCCTCAAAGCCCAGCAGATGCTGCCCCCTCCAGGAAGCCTCCCTGGCCTGTCCCTCTAGAATTTCCTCCCACCCCGATTTCCACAGCACACACACTTTTCTCCAGGGCTTGCTCCATGCTAAAATGGGTTATCTGAGCCACTGGGTCCCAAGGTTAGGGTCTTCGCCCTCCACCCCAACCCCATAGTGCAGTGCACCCGGCTGGCTCTCCAGAAGGGCTGGCTGCAAATAGAAGTCTAGAGCTAGGGAGTCAGAACAAGGGAGACCCAGAGATGGCTCCAGCCATGGAAAGACGCAGGAGGGGAAGGAGCAGGCTGAACCAGGGGCTGTCCCATGTCCCTTACCGGGGCAGTCCGGGCTGTGGCAGTCCTCCAGGTCCTGTCTGGGCCCCAGGCAGCCCTGGCCCCCTGAAGCAGGTGTGGGGCGCATGCACTGGCGGCTGCGGCTCCGGGTCCCCAGCTGGCCACAGGAGCGGGAGCACGGGCCCCAAGGGCCCCAGGGGCCAAAGCCGCCCTCAGCCTGGGAGCAGTTGTCTGGGGAGCAGGACAGCTTCCCATGCACACAGGAGCTGACGAGAGGGTACGGGCATGAGGGGCAGGCAGAGGGCACTGAGGGCCTGGGCAAAGGTCGGGGGCCCCAGAAAGAGGGCAAGGACAGACCCAGTCTCGCCCGCATCCCAGCCCCGTCCTCACCCTGGGTAGCCCCTCACCAGTTCCTGCAGCCGGTTCGAAACATCTGGCCCGGGTCCAACTCCTCTCCAGGCCCAAAGTGCTGACCGTCCTCTCCCAGAAAGAATGGGGACGTCCCAGGCTCGGTGCTGGGGGCTCCCAGTTCCTGCAGCAGCAGTGCTGTCAGCACACAGGGGCACTCCTGGGAGGGGACAGCGAAATCACACAGGACCCGGTGCCTGTGTGCGGTCTCAGAGACCTGGTGGGGACAGGGAGGGCTCTGGGCCTCATGAGGGTGCTTACAGGTACACGTGGGCCAGTGGCCCTTTGTCATGGACATAAAGGCATCAGGATGCATGTGGGCCCGGGGCTGGGCCTAAGGGGTCAGCCTGACACAAGCAGGTCCCAACAGAGGCCCCCAGAGACAGGACTTGGTGGAAGCAGAAAGAGCCTAGCCAGAAAGTGGAGGAGTCAGGACAGCGGGGTTTGAGTCCAGCTCTGCCCCTGTGTGGATGACCTTGTGGGCCCTTCCCGCTCTGAGCTCAGTGTCATTGTCTAAGTTGAGAATGGGAGACTGACAGCTGCTCAGATCCCTGCGGCCATGGCATTCTGGAGGCCACCAGGATAAGGACGGGGACTCCCGTGCCCGCTGGGCTCAGCACAGCAGAGCTGGCACCTGTGGGCCACCTGCACTCGCAGCAGGGGGTGAAGGAGCTGGGGCCGGGCGGAGTGAGGGAAGAGGCGCTTTCCCCACAAGGTGTAGGAGGAAGGAGAGAAGCAGAGAAGGCCTGCGTGGAGTCAAGGCTGGGCTAGGGGAGCCGCAGGAAACTGCTTGTGGCTGCCAGGACGGCTGGGTTTCGAGATACCACACAGGACTGGGGGCGTGCGAGCCCCTGTGGGCACTGCTGAGTCAGGAGATGTGCTGGTGGGAGCCAGGCACCATCAGGGCAAGGCAGGTGGTCCCCACCCTTGGGAACGAGGGGCGTTGCCCCCACTGCCCGCTCTGGGCCTCCGCCTCTCCCTGCCTTGACGCTGGCAGCAAAGGGCCCAGCTGTCCAGAGGCCACAGGTCCTCAGAGGGTATGATGGGCTGCCAGGTGAGGGGCAGGGCAGGGCAGGGCTGAGTTCTGACCTGGACACAGGCCGAGCGGTGCTGCAAGGTGCCCTCGGGACAGTGGCAGCCCTCCTCACAGCTGTTGGAGAAGCAGGCCACCTGCCCCATGATGTGGGCACAGGAGAAGGGGCATCCCTCGCTGGGCTGGCATTCACGGTACAGACGGCCAGCGGGGCAGCCTGCGTCTAAGGCAACACCCGCGTCAGTGCCCGGCTCTTCCAGCCTACTCTGTGCCCACCTATTCTGTGAACGCTCCTCCCTGGGCACTCCCCTCCCGCAGGCTCCCCTGCTCCCTGGCTGCTTCCTCCTTCCCTTGCCCATCACTGGTGAGGGAAGGGGCAGGAGGGCAGAAGGGGAAGAGAGGTCCAAAAGTACCCCCATCAGGACCTAGGCTGCCGGGCCACTCAAAGCTTGTGGCAATGCTCAGCACACAGGCTGGCAGGCTCACCTCTGCAGACCTGGGTGTGGCAGGTGCGGCTCTGCCGGGCCAGTCCAGGGCAGGGGGGTCGGGGGCAGAGCCGGGAGCGCAACTGCTCCCCTCCCCCACAGGAAACGCTGCAGTCCTCCCAGGGGCCCCAGGCCCCCCACACGCCAGCACCAGGGCAGCTGGGCACCTCCTGGCACTTCAGGGTGCCCGCCACACAGATGCTGGGGACAAGGGATGGGTTTCAGAGATGCCCTGGCCCATTCCAAGGAGGGCACTTCTCCCCAGCTCCGTCCAAAGTCCGCTTTGCTTACCAGTTGTCACACAGCCCGGTCACCACCTCTCCAGGTTCCAGACTTTCCCAGGAGCTGAGCCAAGACCCTGCTGACTGGCTGTGGTTCTCAGGGATCCCTGCAGGGTGCAGGAGTGAGGGTTGAGGAGCTCAGCAACCCCATGAATCCCTCCTCCTGTACCTCTGCCTTCCTACACTCCACCCCACAGGCCTGTGTCCTGGAGGAATAGGTGGAAGAACATTCCAACCTGGACCAGCCTGGGTGTGAGGGGACTGGGCGGGGAACACAAGGCTTTGCAGGGGCTGGGCCCCGGGGGACAGGTACAGGGCCAGGCAGGACGGCAAGGGCCGGAAAGGCACTGACCCATGGCTCCAGGCTGATACTGGCAGTGGCAGAGGGCTGGGAGCACACAGAGCCCGTCCTGGCTGAGCTGGCCTGGGGGACATCCGCAGCTGGGCTGGCACCTCACGGGGCCTGGCTGGCACACACTCGCGGGGGACAGGTCCCGGCAGGAGCGGGGGCAAGGCTGCCCACAGGGCAGTAGATCCTGGCCACCTCCACAGTCTAGGGCAGGAGGGAAGCAGGAAAGGTGGGTGCTGTAGGCCTCCTGCCAGGCCCACTACCCATGCCAACCTGCCACCCTGCCATGGAGAATGACTCGGTATGAATGAATGCACAGGGGTCAGAGGTCAGAGTCAGCATCTCCCTAGACTTATGAGGCTCTCCAGGTCCTTCCAGAAGCCCTCACCTGTGCACTCTGTGGAGTTATTCCAACATGGGCGACTCTGCTCATGGGCCCCAGGGCACGGCCTGCCTCCCTCGGAGCTGGGTGGCTGGGTGCACACTCGCCTCCGCTGGGACTGCCCCAGGCACACATTGCAAGAAGACCATGGACCCCAAGGGCTCCAGGCTCCATCCACTGCCCAGGAAGACAGAAGGACACGCACCTTAGGAGCCCCAGAGCCCCAGGGTATCGAGGTTGGAACCGACACTGGGGGGATGCCGTAGGCCTCGAGTAGGCAGCACACCTGGACATGCGGTAGAGCTGGGGCAGGCCTCCCTCTGACCCTGGGCCTCTGCTCCCCCAGGGCACGGAGCACCACCATGCTGAGGGGTCGGGCAGGCACAGGCCCTGGAGCGGGTCCTTGCCTGGCCCCTGCAGGGTTGGGAGCACGCTGCCCACTCTGACCACAAGCACCAGCTTCCGGGCACTGCGAGGAGAGTCCGGGCACTGGGTATAGGTGATCCTGTCCCAGGTCCCGGCCCCTCGGTGACCTCAGAGCCAGTTCTCCTCCCCTCCCGGCAGACCGGCTCGTACCTGGGCAGGGCAGGTCTGTGCAGTTGAGCCTCCCCTCCAAGCAGGTGCTGGGCAACCGGTGCAGACACAGGAGGATGAACCAGCGGCTCAGGGCCACCAGCGTCCCATGTGCAGCCCCCTGACTGCCTCTCTCCCCTGCCTACCGCTGTCACCGTCGGTGCCTGTTCCCGGGCTCCAGTGCCCCCTAAGCCTGCTCCCTGCTTCACTCAGCTGGCCCCCCGGGATGTCACAGCTGGTGTGACTTGTGCAAGGTCAGACAATGGGAGCAAATGCTGCCTTGTCTGTGGCCCATCCAGCCCAGCAGCTCTCCTCCCAGGAGCATGTGCGCGGCCCTCAGCAGACACATAGTGCTAGCTGCCTCAGTTTCCCCACTTATCAGATAGGGCTCCACCTTGCATTTCTTAGGGATGGTGGATTTCTAATGTCCCCTCTGCTGAGGCCCGGATCCCACACGCATGTACCCTAGGCCACTCCCATGGGCACCGCTGCCTCCGGACACCAAGGCACGGCAGGCTCACCAGTGGTTGCAGCCGTCAGGCCTGGCCAACTGGGTGCCTGGACGGTGCCGCTCCCCAGTCAGCAGGTCCAGGCAGCCGCAGTGACCGGGATGCACGCAGATGGTCCCATCGGCACTCAGCACCTGGCCCCGGGGACAGTAGCAGCCGGGCTGACAGCGCCAAACACAGTGCTGTGGGGACAGCAAGGGGCGGCGGCTCTGGTCAGCACCGAACAGTCTGCAGGGTGGGGGCGGTCAGTGGGGAGCCGTAGAATACGCTGGGGGGATGCAGAGGGACGGGGCTGGAGAGGAGGAGGAAGGCAGCCGAGGAGGCACAAACTGTGACCTTCAGCTCAGAGCTTCTGTTTGAAACAATTTATGTTTGGAGTTTTGTTAAGAAAGGGAGGAAGGCAGGCAGGCCTTGGAATCCCAGCCACACTCAGAAGGCTGAGGCAGGAAGATCGCCGTGAGTTTGAGGCCAGCCAGGGTAACATAGTGAGTTCAAGGCCAGCCTGAGCTACATAGCAAGATCCTGTCTTAAAAAACAAAATAAAACAAACAAAACAAAAGAAGAAAGGCAGGAAGGGGAGCAAGCCAGCCTTGCTGGTCTTCCCCAAGACTGGCATCGGGGGGACAGAGACCCTGTCTGTATCCATGGTACCTGGGTGAGTGCTCGGGAAATACTTTCACTCACAATCAATATTTGCACACAAAAATGCTTATGGCGCATAGGGTGATGCAGTGGGGTGGTTTTCCCCTTCCTATTTGTGCTATGTTTGTAATAAAAGTTTTACTTTGAGAAGAAGAGGCCCTAGCCTGGCATAGCTGGTCATAGCTGAAGTCGGGGACTCATCTGCCCAGCACTGGGACGGCCCTTGAGTCCGGCCACACCCGTGAGGTGGCCCTTGGGTCAGGGGTCAGGCAGGGATGCTGGGGAAGCCTACTCACCACAAGGTCGTCACAGGAGTGGGGGCAGGGAGGGCCACAGGGGCTGAACTTGGCCCCTTCGATGGCGGTGCAGTTGGTCACTGGGAAGGGGACCAGATGGGCTGAGAGTAGTACAGCTCCCCCACCTTCTCCTCTGCTCCTGACCCCACCTCATCCCCGGCAGGTACCTGGGCATGGCTGAGCCTGGCAGGTTTCCCCCTGGGCCTGAGGCCCCTCGCAGAAAAGCCCCAGGCCCTCAGGTGGCGGCTGGTCACAGGCTCGGGTCCGGCTGCGCAGGCCTCCTCCACAGCTCCGACTGCAGCTGGACCAGGGTCCCCAAGGCCCCCAGCCCCCTGCTCCTGAGAGACAGCGAGGGAAGGTGAGTGGAGGGCTTGGCAGAGCCTGGGGCCAGCTGGCACCACCTCCAGGCCAGAGTCTGCCCACGGTGCTGGGGCACTCACGGTCACAGGCGGGCAGGAGGCACGGCTCCTCCTCGGCCTCGGGTCCCGGGCAGAGGGGTGTGGGGGCAGCTGAGGCGTGCAGCAGAGCCTGGCTGGATGGTGCCACACTGGGGGTGCTGGAGCAGAAGTGGTGTCGGTGGCGGCGGGCAGGGCCACAGGAGGCTGAGCATTCACTCCAGGGGGTCCAAGGAGACCATTCGGGCTGGCCTTGGGGTGCACAGGAGACAGAAGGTGAGGAGCAGCGGCTGGGCGTAGTGGGCGTGCCACACCCTCCTCTGGTGCACACTCTTTGGAGAGATGTCCCAGTCCCAGCCCTGGCTACCACTGCCCCTGCGGAGGGAGAGGCGAGTCAGGTCACAGTGGGGCCGGTTCTCACCCTCCTCACAAGGCCTGGAAGTGCAGTTGGTGATGAGTCCAGAGACACAGGAGCTGCGAAGGTGACGGTAGAGGGCTGTGTGATGTCCCCTCAAAACCTACACTCAGGCCCTAGCTCCAGGACACGTCAGCGTGGTCTCACCAGGGTCTTTGCAGAGGTAGTTAAAGACAGGTCCCTGGGGTGGCCCTAACCTGAACCTAACGCAGACAGGAAGAGAGGCCAGGGGTTGGGGGTGTGTGGGCAGGTTCTGCCTCCATCTGAGGGCTGGATGCCTGTCCTGCCACTGAGGAGGGACAGCAGCTCAGCGGGAGCCTTGGAGGTCATTGGGCCCAGGCCACCACCAGATAGGAGTCTCACCAGTTTTCACACGGACTCAGCACAGCACCGCCTGCGGGGTAAAGGTGGCCCCTGTGGGTACAGGGGCAGTCCTGGGTGGGCACACACACGCTGTTCTGGAAGGGAGAGCCACCCTGTCATCTCCAGTTCCTGCCGAATTCCTCCCCAGACAAAACTGGCCCCCCTCCCTGAGGCCCCTCAGACACCATCCACCCGTCATCCCCATCTCCCTAGCCCCCTCCTGCAGGGCGAATGCAGACCCTCAGCTGCAGAGGCCGTGGGGGGGACGCTCCCTCAATTTCTGTAAGCAAAGGACCATTTTCTATATCAAGACACAAGACTGAGCTGTCAAATGCCCTTAAAATCACATAAGAAAATATGAAATATGTGATTTTTTTTTTAGGCAGTACTGGGGACTGAACCCAGGGCCTTTAGACTCAGCTACATTCCTAGACTTTTTTTTTACTTTTAATTTTGAGACAGGGTCTCATTAAGTCACTAATTCGCCCAAGCTATACTCAAACTTGTGATCCTCCTGCCTCAGCCTCCATAAATGTTGGGATTACAGACATGTGCCACCACATCAGTTATAATATATAATTTGAACACTTGTGACCCCTCCCCCAAATTTTCATCAACAAACGAAGAACGGAGAAAGCGATGTATGCAGGATGTTTGGACAGAGATCACTGAAATTTAACAGAAACTTTTATTGGGAAGCGCACGATTCAAAGTCAAGCATATGGATGTATCTTGGCTGGCCGGGAGGTACTGCACCTGCCCACCATCCTGACTCTGACGATTAGGACCATCACTGCCCCAGTTGAGATGTGAGAACACCAGCAGACAAGCCTGATTTGGACCCAGACCTCACTACACCTGTCCCTTACTCCACCCTATGTACAGCAGCAGCCTGGAATCCTTTGTCCAAACCCCTCCACGCTCACTGGAATTTCTCAGCCCTGGTGCCCAGCCCTCCAACTGGAGTGCTGCCTCTTGTTCTCCTGGTCTTTCAATCTCAGGCTTCCGGTCAGGACTGCCTTCTCCAGGAAGCCTTCCACTACTGGCCCAGCCTGCTCTCCGATGCTTCGGTGTTTATACTGGTGGCCCCAGGTCTGGCTTCACCGGACTAAATTGTTTCATGAAGGCAGAGCCTATTTCCCCCCTCAATATAGCCCAACCCAGGACTGAGCATACAGAGGTGTTGGCCCCGTCCCGGCCACCCTGGGTCCCCAGGCACGAGGAGGTCCTGCCTATGGGTAGCCCTGAGGGAGGACACTCACCAGCAGGAGCATCCTGGGAGGGCAGTAGCAGCCAGGGTGGCAGGTCTGGTTAGCCTGTCCCAAGGAGCTGAGCTCTGCACAGGAGGCAGGGCCCTGGGCACAGTCCTGCCACCGCTGTCCCCTGGGACACACACCCGGCACTGGCCCTGGAGACAGAAATTGACAGCCCTGTCCCCTGGGCTCCCAACCTGGAGAGGCATCTGCTTGGTGCAAGGCTGCTCAGGGCTAAAGGACAGGGCACAGCGAGGGAGCTAACAGTACCCAGGTTGGGGGGAAGAAGAACTGGAGGGTCCCCAGGGCAGTGCTCACCTGCGCAGGGCTGCAGGCTGCAGGTGGAGAATTCCACAGGGCCGTGTGGGCCACCGCCTCGGGTGCGGTTCCGGTAGCCACCGCCGCAGGGCACGGAGCACTGAGTCCAGGGACCCCACGCCCCACCAGGACCTGGGGGTGGCACTAGGTCACTCACTGCAGGCCCCACCTCCCACCTCGACACCAGGGGACCCTCCCTCCTCACACTGCTAGCCACTTCACCTGGGCCCCCGACCCTGCCTCGGACCTGCCGCCACCCGGAAGGACGCGGCTGCCTCTAGGGAGAGTGTCTCTTAGGGAATGAACTCAGCAGCTCTCAGACACCATCTTAGTGGCACCTCTCAGGTAGGTCCCTTGCACGCCCCTCACAGGGCCCTGGAGGATGCCATGCGGGTATTCTAGCTCCTCTCTGAGGACATGAGTCCGCTTTCACCTTGACATGGCTGCAGACTGCAGAATTCAGCTTCCATGTCGGGGCCCTGGCACTCAGCACCCCCAAAGGCAGCTGGGGGTGCAGTGCCTGTCCGGAAGCGTCGCTGAATGCCCACATCGCAGCTGCGGCTGCAGGGACTCCACGGGGTCCAGGGACTCCAGCCACAGGCCACTGCCAGTACAGAGGTGGTGTGTGTGAGGTCAGGTCAAACCCCTGAGCCCTGACCCGCCCAGGGTACCACCTTGGTCCCATGGGCTCATCTCGGAAAGGCCCAGGTACCCCTTGTTCCCTGACACTGGGCCCCCTGGGGTACCTGGGCAGGGCTCCGAAGTGCACACCATCTCACCAGAGACACAGGTGCTGCAGAGAGAGAGCCGGTGAGACCTGACCTGCCCATCCCCCACTGTAATCAGTCCCCGCCTTAGAGTACAATGTACTGGCCGGAGGCGGGGAGCAGGGAGGCAGCTGGCCATGGTGCCCACTACCTATCGCCCATCAGTGGAATTTTAAGTTGTGACCAGCAGTCACCCAAATGCACCATCAGGGGCTCCACAAGGCTCCAAGCACTGTGTGTCCCTTTGTCACAAAGCTACATGGGGAGACACCTTTTCATTCCATTTGCATTTACTAAACGCCATTCAGACATGACCCGGAGTGCCAAGACCGAGTAGGAGCGATTGAGAAAGAGCAGGATTATCGGCCCTTCTTTCTCTGTAGTTTTCTCCAGTGTAAGTTTTAAAGCCTATCTGTCAAAGTCTGGAGGTTACAGAAAGATAGTCAGAGAGAAGAAAGAGAAAGGGGTTGGTGGAGGAATAATAAAATGAGGAACTGGGGTGCAAGGTAAAATAGAAAAAGAAAGGGAAATGAAAAGGTGGTGCGGGAACTGGGCTCAGAGCACCCTCTGCTGGCAGAACCTGGGGAGAGCTTTGAGTCTCGGGTGCTTCAGCCCTGAGCAGAAGTGGAGTGGATCCCGGGGAGGGAATGATACCCAGGAAAGAGAAGCAGGGAGCGGCGGGAGGAGAGGTCAGGAGCCCCTCTCCGGTCTCCAGTCTATCATACATGGCCCCACACCGCAAAACCCCGTCCTGCCCCCTTTGGGAGCCAGCCCTCCAGGACCACCACCACCACCACCACCGGGGACCCACCAGTTGTTGCAGGCGTCCAGATGAGCCACGGCTCCAGGTGCATAGAGCTGCCCGCGCAGCTGGCAGGGGCACTGGGTGCGGGGCAGGCAGCTGGTGTTGTGCAGAAAGAGGCCAGGGGGGCAGGCACAGCTGGGGGCACAAACGCCCGTGCACTCCACCCCAGGGTCCTGCGCCAGGCACAGCTGAGGGCACGGACCCCCCTCCTGGTGACACTGCTCTGCTGAACGGAACACCATGTCGCTGGGGCACTGAGCTACAGGGCAAGACAGAGCGGGTCTGGGCAGGGGCAGAGGGAAGGAAAGGGAGGCCGCGAGGGAGGGGTCTGCCTGCAGTGACTGGGAAGAAGTAACATGGCCCTCCCTGTCCACCCCTCCCAGGCTTGCTCCAGGGCCTGGCAAGTCACCAGGGAAGAGTCATGTTTTGCTCCACTTGATACAATTTGTTTTGTTTTTGTCTTTTTGAGACAGGGTCTCACTATGCAATTCGGGCTGGCCTTGAGCTCTGTTTGTAGCCCAGAACTGGTCTCATACTCTCAGTGATCCTCCTGCCTCTGCCTCCCAAGTGCTGAGATTACAGGCATGCGCCACCACGCCCAGCTTGTTTTGTTTTTAGATATGGTTTTGAGACTTATTCCAGGCTGGCCTTGAACTCACAATGCTGCCTAGGCTGGCCTCAAACTCCCAGCAAGTCTCCTGCCTCAGCCTCCCCAGTGCTGGGATTGTAGGCGTGTACCACCATACCCAGTTGATACCGATGTTCTTGAGACAGAAGAGCACACTAGTGTCTGATCCAGGAGGGCTCAAGGGAGAGCGAGGAGGGGGAATGGGCTTCCCAGGGCCAGGGCTGCTTGTGCACAATTCTGCCCATCGTTCTGACTTCCTTGGAAGGGCCAGCAGCCATGAGCCTGGTCCCCAGTGGGCGGAAGAGGGAAGAAACCTGAAGGTCTCCCTGGCTCAAGGCACCACCTGCCCTGACATGCAAGGTCAGGGACGTGTGAAGGTGTGGGGTGTGTGTCAGGCCCTGGGAGCCGTGGGGCGTGGCCAGCTGGAGGGTAGGCCAGAACCTGGTACCTGTGCAGAGCTGTGTGTTACAGTCTCTGGTCTGACTATGGGGTCCCTGGCACACAGGGTGCTCAGGGGCTGGACCACTGCAGCTGCGCCCACGGGTCTGCACACCTCCACCGCAGGACGCTGAGCAGGCGGACCAGGAAGCCCACAGACCCCAGCTGCTCTGCACTGTGGGGAGAGGCCAGGGTCCCAGTCACGGACGTGGCAGAGGTGTGGCAGGGGAGGGGTCAGAGCTGTGGGGTGTACAGGGCCCCCAGCCACACCTCCCCGACAGTCAATCATGTTCTGGTTCCGGGGGGCGAGGAGAAGCTTGAGGACAAGAGCCAAGTTTGCTCTCATCCTCTGCCCCCTTCCCTCCGCTCCCTGGGGCTCACGGGACCCCACCCCAAAAAAGTGCCCGGCCACACCAGGGGTGATGGGGGTCATACCTGGGCACGGAGGGGGGCTGCAGGGCTCCTCCTGGATCGCCTCTCCATGGCAGGCATCCCTGGGGCTGGGGCAGAGCCGAAAACGCCGCTGCCGACCGGCGCCCCCTCCAGGGACAAGGCAGCTCTGGGAGCAGGGGGACCAGGATGTCCAGGGCGTCCAGCCCGGTGTCTCTGCAGGAGACACAGCGGGCCTACTGCATGGGCCAGACAGGCCAGGGGCTAGGGCGGGCTCTTGGGGATGACAGGTACCGTACTGGGTTCAGGGTGGCCCCTGTCCCCTCGGCTGCCTGGGGCCTCTGTGCTCCAGCCCACTTCTCACACTTGGGGCAGCAGTAGAGGAGCCTCCGCTGGCCCGGCCCAGTCAGTGCATAGTGTCACCTCCCGCAGACTCTTGCTCTTCCCAGCCCACCCTGCTCGGGCACCCAGGCCACCAGCACCCTCCTGAGAGCCTGTCTCCCCGCCACCAAAGCCCACCCGGCAAGGCCAGTTCAAGGGCTGCCCTCGACTGCGGAAGCCTTGCTGATTACCCACCCAGGGGTCCTCTCCCACCACGTCCACAGGGCCAGGCACAGGCGGGGGAGGCAGGCTTCTGCCATACCTGACCCACACTCCGTGTAGCAGGCCTGCAGCTCCTGGCCGTCACCCTCACAGGGAGCACCTCCGAAAGCCGCAGGAGGATTGGAAGGAGACCTGGGAGAGAAGCAGCCCTGGGCCCCTTGTCCTCCTGTCCTCCCCCGCCCCAAGCTCTGAGCCTCCTTCCTCCCCGTCCTCCCACTGTCTCCGCCCTGCACACCTGAACCTGGCCTTCACTCCAGGGCCACAGGATCGGTCACAGGGAGCCCAGGGGGACCAGGCTGACCAGCCGCAGGGCTGGGGGCAGCCGCCTGGTTCACACTGCAGTTCGCCCTTCTCACACGTGCTGCGGGAAGGGAAGGGATGGAGCTATCAGGACGGAGGCCCAGCGCCCACCCCCGCCCAGCGCCCTCCCTGCCAAGCACCCTCACCAGCGGCTGCAGTTGTCCATCAGGAAGGACGACCCCGGCTGCCTCAGCTCCTCACCCACGAGGCAGGGGCACTCGGAGAGGGGCAGGCAGTGAGAGTCATGGAGGAGGAGCCCCGGGGGGCAGCGGCACCCTGGGACCAAGTGAAGGGAGGCTGGGGTCTGAGGGCAGGTGGCTGGGGTCTGAGGGCAGGTGGCTGGGGTCTGAGGGCGGGTGGCCGGGTGGGCACCGCTCCCTCCCCCTGCTCGGGTCTACCTCACCCTCCACACACTGCCCAGTGCAGCTTCCGTTGGCCTCGGGATCCAGGCAGGAGGGTGGGCACAGGGGCACCAGCCCCTTCTGGCATAGCTCCGCATCCACGTGCACAAGGCCTGGCCCGCAGTCTGGGGGAGATGGGTACCTTGTGGGGTGAGTCCAGGGAGGCTCGGCGAGCTGCCCGTGCCCAGCACCCTCTTACCTGTGTCACCTGCACAGGGCAGCAAGCCACAGGGCACCCTCTCTTGGGAAGCCCCGGGGCAGGGGGCCCCGCCATTCTTGGGTGGGGGGTCCACACAGCTCCGCCGGCGACCCTGGTGGCCACCCCCACAGGAGACGCTGCAGGGGCCCCAAGTCTCCCACTCTGCCCATGCCCCAGCCACTGCAGAGGAAGGAAGAGCAGAGGTCCAGCAGAGAGCTCTCAAGGAGACAAATGCTGTCCTGGAGAGGGGGCGCAGGGAGGGAGCCCTCGGCCAGCTGGCAGAGCAGCACACAGCCCTGTAGCCTCCTCCTCTGTCCAGGATGCCTCTGTTTCCCAGATGAGGGAAGCTGGGGATGGACCTGGTGACGCCTCCCAGGACAAAAGCTCTGTACCCTGAGAGGGGCAGTGCCTGTGCAGACCCTGGGGCACACACAGTCTGGGTGAAAGAAGGCAGCCAAGCAGTGTTCGGAGGCAGCTACGGGGGCCGAGGAGAGCCCTCCACTGTGGGAAGCTCTCTCTGCAATGCACAGAGGTGAGTGGGACAAAAGGCTGCATGCAAAGCTTTTGGCAAGGAACCCAGGGACAAGTGGAACAGCCGGCTGATGTCTGAGGTCTATCTCTTAGCCCTCACTGAGCTCCACCTATGGAGGCTCTTCCATCCTCCTTCCACCCAGCCATCTCTCCACCCATCCATCTATTCACTCATCTACCCACCCATTGATTTATCCATTGATCCATCCATCTATCCTCTATCTACTCATCCATCCATCCATCCATTCATCCACCCATTCATCCATCCTTCATCTACTCATCCATCCATTCTTCCTCTGTCTACTCACACATCAATCCATCCACCTACTTGCCTATCCATCTATCCATTGATCCACTGATCCATCCATCCATCCATCTGTCCACCCACCCACCCATCCATCCAATCATCTTCCCAGATCGCCTTCCTCCATCCTGGATGCCATCTGATGTGGGATGACCGGGGTTCCCAGTTTTCAGCAGAGATCTAGCACGTGGTACTGGGGCTCACTTGGGCAGGCATGAGGGGCTGGAGGGGCCTCGGGGACCAATCCCATCCCCTCCAAGGGCCTGGCTACCTGGGCAGGCCTGCACAAAGCAGGGCTGGCTGCGCAGCTGGTCCATCAGGCAGCTGCCCCCGGGCAGGGGAGGCCGCAGCTGCTCCCGGCGCTGGAAGGTGAAGCCCAGGCCACAGCTGCGGCTGCAGCCGCTCCAGCTAGACCAGGCTGCCAGTATGCAGTCCACTGAGGGGACAGGTGGGCAGGGCTCAGACGGGGGTCATGGAGGTGCAGGTCCCTCAGGTGTGTCCTCTGCCTGGGCAGCACATACCACAGGCATCCTCATCCGAGCCGTCCTGGCAGTCAGAGTGCAGGTCGCAGCGCCGCTCAGCTGGTAGACACTCCCCACTGCCACAGCGGAGCTGGCTTGGCGAGCAGAGGGCCCTCGAACCCGGCAGCCCAGGAAGCACTGTGGTGGGCACCGTGAAGGGCTCTGTGCTCACTGCCCATGAGGTGCGGGAGAGGAAAGCAAGCCACATGAGTGACACAGTGAGCCCCTGCAACCTCAGGCCAGGAGTCGGGGGTTGCACTTGCTGGCCAGAGCCCTGGCCTCCCCTTCCTCCTGGTGTCTCTGCTCCCTTCCACTACTGTGAGTGAAATCTACACAGGGTCTTTGGTGTACCCAGGTCTCCCACAGTCTCACTACTTGTCAAAGGCTCTTACAGTGTCCGGAGAGGGACCAGAGTACTAGAAAATTAGTTTACTCCCTTGGGTACTCTCTATGACTGATTAATGCTTGATTTCTCCTATCCTGATTGTAAGACAAAGCTTTGATCATAATGATCTACTTTAGATGGATGGATGGGTGGGTGGATGGACAGAGAGATGTATGCATCAATGGACAAATGGTAGGTGGGTGGATGGAGGAATGGTGGGGTGAATGGATGGATCAGTGGATAAATGGATAAATGAGTGGGTAAGTGAGTGGATGAATAGATGGATGGTTGGAGGATGGGTGGGTGGGTGGATGGATAGAGAAATGGATGGATCAACGGATACATGGTAGGTGGATGGATGGATGGATGGATGGATGGGTGGGTGGTTGGATGGATGAATGGGTCAGTGGGTAAATAGATAGATGGGTGGGTGAGTGAATGGATGGGTGGATGGATGTCAGACAGATTTTATAAAACAGGTTGAGACTCAAGACCTATTCCAGTCCCCTTCTTCACCACCACTGAAGACACTCACATTCCTAATTGTTTTCACACTTTTAGTTTCTGTCCACTCCCTGCTACCCTACCCTCTCCCAGATCCTTCCCACATGAGCTAGAAATGGACACAGGGACACCCAGACTTGAAGCCCTCTTGCACCTGACACAGGCCCTCTGCTTACCGCAGCGCTGCTCATCAGAGCCGTCCAGGCAGTCCTCCCTCCCATCGCAGAGCTGTGCCCACTCCACACAGCCCAGCACCTCGCAGGGCACCTGCCCAGGGCTGCACTGCACAGGTGGGAAGGGCTTGGGGGTGACGTTGTGGCCTGTGGATGGATGGACAGATGGATGGGTGGGTGGATGCATGGATGGATAGATAGAGGATGGATGAAGGATAGATGGATGGATGGAGGATGGATGGATGAATGGATGGATGGATGATGGAT